TTTTTCTTTTATGTTGTACCGGTATTCATCCTTTATGTTACCATAGATCCGCCAAATAACTATAGCAAATCAGGTTAAAAGTAGATAAATAAAGGATAGATATTGGGATAATAAAGGGATCCTGGTATGTATCCTTTATGTATTTATTGAACCAGTGTATGTTGCTAATTTATATACAAAATTTTTCATATAATCTTTCTACTTGTAGCTATTTAATTAAAAAATAATAATTTTAATATTAATTTGAATGCTAATAATTACTTACTTTAAAAAGCGATAACTTGCTAATAATGACTCTTGCAACTGAAAATTTAAAACTAATATACCCGGCCCAAATCATATGTCCATGCATATCAGTTTTAACTTTCTGATACCAATCTACTACGACTTGTTTAATTTTTGGTTTGATTTCTTTCCGTATTGATCCCGGTGCCTGTTCACGAGGAGGTTGAAATATAACATAGGTTTGTTGTTCATTGGCAAAGTATTTAACTTTCCATTGCTCATCATTTAAGATTTGACTAAGCAAAGAATATGCATTGTCACCTTGAAATAAACATCTTACTCTTCCTGATTTTGAAAATCAATGATGGATATAGCCTTTGAATACACTATAAAATTGACTTAGTGTACAAGATATTAATACTCTTTGTGAACCTGAACATGTAAAATGTGCTTTTAATCGATCTTGAATAATTTTAATAAAGATTTTTTTTAATTCTATACTAGCTTTTAAAGGAAGTTTATAAATGTTGGGAGGATTTTTGTTATAACCTTTAACAATAGTATGATGTCGCTTTAAGCCACCTTTTGTTTTATAGTATTTTTCGCAAACAAAGCAATGATATAAAGGTTTTTCTACTAATAGCTAATTATAGTATATAACAAATTTATTGTTTTTTATAATATGTAATATGAAAATAAAATTATTAAATTGTTATATACATACAGACATTTTACAAAGCCAAATCTATTTAAATACATTCTACAAACAAAATACAAGTAAATAAACTATTATATTAGAAAATATATATAAATTAAGCATACTTTTTACAATTAACAATTACCTTTACTTTTTTTTGATGGGTTCCAGGGATGGACGATTGGTTAGACGCAATAATTTATATATTAAAAATTTTGTTAATAATGATTTTAAAATGTAATAGCCAATTAGATGATTTGTTGATCAAAAAATAAACCCTAAAAAAAATGATTTATATATATATAAAAAAGGCCCAAAAACGAAATCAGCCTATATGCTATAGCTTGCCCCTAGTCAACAATACCAACAAAACTTAGTAGACACTGCAACTTCATTTTACAATATAGCACATATCACTGTAAACCAATCAAAATCCATCCTAGCTACTAATAGCACTATTGATTCTACACCAACTATACGCTTTGCTGACTCTACTATTCCTGCTACTCCAAAAATAAAGCATTTTGCACCTTAGCTGCTAGTTTGTTACTACTAATAACTATAAGGCCATTCATAATCAGATAACAGAGAAGACTATTAGCCTTATAAAAACAATTAAAAGAAAAAAGATAATAGATAAACAAGCTATTTATATTATTAATACGGTCCTTATCCCTTAATTCTCTTACAGAACACTTAATACATTTATATATCCAAACATATGCTTAAAAATTACTAGCCAATTTATACAAATCATTAAACACAAGGCTGGCCTCTCAAGCTATATTCCCAATACAACTTTATTCTACCACCAAATATATGGGCTTAGACAACTTAATAACATACAAGTACAAAATCATATCTCAGTATTACATACTCAAATCAACAACCCCATTACTATGCGATCTATTAAAATATACTTACAGCATCTACAAAATGCTGCTATGATATCATTCAACATACTGCAGTCTGCACAATTTATATTACCTACCAAATACGACTGCACACTCACAGCACAAGTAATTCATACAATACACCAACTCAACCTTACAATCCTTAACCTTCCCAATCCATGGCCTATACCCACCAAATATCCTGGTACAATAATTAACCAACTAATCAAGCACTGTCCAAAGCCTAACTACATAAAAATATTTACAAACCAGGCAAACATCTATGCAATTGAACAGCTTACAAATTATACAAACACACAACTTCTCACCTGGCACCAACTGCACTACAAAATTCAAAAAATTATATCAGGTCAGATACCAAAGTGGTTTTGAGAGCTTCATAAAACACTTTTGAGCCTACTACACCATATATACTAACTGTAAGTTCCAATCTATTTACTACTAACAAAATTACTCCCGCATGGACTAGTTGGATACTAGAAACAGTTCAAAACACACCAATCATAGAAAAGGTTTTTAAAACTAAGCTACTAAGAAACAATATATATGTCACACACTAGCTACCTCCAGACTTAGAAACTAATACTCTACCACTTACTCACTGTAACTCTTGTATATTAACTACAGCAATCAATACAAATAGACAATGCACTATCATAATCCCCTACAACATTGCATCACAATTTAAGCCACTTGTTCAAAATACCTACGTACTAATATTTCTGATCTAATTTCTCATCACCCCTCTTTAGTAG